TTTTTGTCATTTCAGGGAAGGAGATTACAGCAGAAACTTTTATGGAGAAGTTGGACAATGGTGCCTTGCTCTGTCAACTTGCAGAAACTGTGCAGGAGAAATTCAAGGAGAGCATGGATGTTAACAAGCCCACAAAGGTAAAAGATCCCAATGCAAAAATCACTCTTAGGTGGTAGATTACATTTATAATTGCTTATAAATTGAATGTAATTAAAAAATTTATTGTGAACAGATGCATCAAGGTCTATACTAACAACAAAGTACAGAGGGTTCTTTTTAATTAGGTAATGTGTTATTTGCACTCTAATTACATAAATTGCATAATCCTTTTGGTGAATCTAATTAAATAAAAGCTTATGAAAAGTGATGGTATTAAAAGAGTGTTGTATATAAACTCAATGAATCTAAAGTATTGACTAAAATCTTAGCAGAGAAATAATTGTGTCATTAGGCAATGCACAAATCTAGCCAAGAAAGATTTACTGAATAGATCTTTGTTTTCAAAAATATTATGGCAGAATACTAGATCAAAATTTCTGGACTGTAATTTTTTGTTTATTCTAAATAATAGTACCATTGAACTAAGTAAATTTGGACAAATTATATATTTTATTTCTAACTACTCAGATTTTTTTTCTCCACATTAATTCTAATATTCTTTTCTAGTGATTATAAACACTTGATGAAAGTATGGTGTTTGACTTTTTTGAAGAAAACAAGAGAGATTGTACTTAATTTTTAATAAAGAATGAAAAGAGATATAAAAAATATTAAAATAATGTTGACTAGGCATGGTGGCTCATGCCTGTAATCCCAGTGCTTTGCTTTGGGAGGCTGAGGTGGGCAGATCACGTGAGATCAGGAGTTTGAGACCAGTCTGGCAAACCTGGCCAAAACCCATCTCTACTAAAATAAATAAATAAATACATAAAAAATAAATTAAAACAATTTAGCCCAGCACCATGACACATGTCTATAATCCCAGCGACGTAGGAGGCTGAGGCAGGAGAATTGCTTGAACCCAGGAAGTAGAGGTTGTGGTGAGTAGAGATCACACCATTGCACTCCAGCCTGGGTGACAGAATAAGACTCTATCTAAAAAATAAAAATAAAAAAAATAAAAATAAAAATGTTGAAGACAACTTACTACAGAAAGCAACTGTTAAGGCTTTTGTGCAACTCTGACAGAAAAAATAAAAGGGGTGTGTGTGTTTGTGTGTGTGTGTGTATATGTGTGTATTGCCACTGAATTTATTTTTTAGATATTTTATATTACTCTGTATTGTATAATATACAAAACCTTCCTCTATTTTTTTAAATCTTAAAAGCAGCTCTGTGAAGGTATTAATTAATTAAGTGGCTCCCAAACTTTGCTGCACATTGGAATTATCTGAGCATCTTTAAGAAAAATGCTGAGAGCTGGGCTGGATGTGATGGCTCATGACTGTAATCTCAGCAGTTTGTGGGGGTCAAGGTAGGCAGATTGCTTGAGCTCGGGAGTTCAAGATCAGCCTAGGCAACATGATGAAACACCATCTGTAAGAAAAACACAAAAAAATTAGCAGGGAATGGTGGTGGGTTCCTGTAGTCCCAGCTATTTGGGAAGCTGAGACGTCAGGTTCCCTTGAGTCCAGGAGGTTGAAGTTGCAGTGAGCCGAGATCACAACACTGCACTCCAGCCTGGGAGACAAAGTGAGACCCTTTCTCAAAAATAAGAATAAAATAAAATAATACCGAGACCTGGATCCCATGCCTTAACATTCTGATTTAATCCCATAGGGTGAAACCTGGGCACTGGAATTTTTAAAAAGCACCCCAGGTGATTCTAATGCGCAGCAAAGTTTGGTAACCATGAATTTCTTTTAATCTTCTCCTTGATTGGATGGTTGAAGACGCTAAGTAATTTGTACAAGATTGGCTAGTAAATGACCAATCATGAAGTTGATACAGACAACTTTGCAAGTTTAATGCTGTTTCATTTTGGTTCATTATGGGTAGCCCAGGAGCGAGGAGACTGTTTATGAAAATGCTTTGTGTCAAGCTTAATGTTAGGACACCAATTTTTCTTCTGCTCTCATTTCCATCGTGATGTAACTGGCCTCTACATCAGCTACTGATGAGAAAATATAATGCCAATAAGAGGACAATTTGTATAGAAGGTTTACCGTAAAGCAATGAACAGAGGGAAATAAGCTGTGGTGCCCAGACACTTGACAGCATTACCTTCACATTATGAGGTTCCTGAAACCCGTATTGCTTGTTTTTGAGGATGGAGAGCCCAATGCCTCAGTGTTAAGAATCCTTGAATCCTCCAGAGTAATAAAGATTAACCAACTCTATTAAGGCCATTGTGCGGTTTTCTGGTTTTGCTTTGTTTGTAAGTCTTTGCTTTTTTAAAACAGAAGCAAAGATTCCCAAATAGATTTGCAATTGTAAGACTCAAATGTAAGATAACCCTAAAGCATTAGCCTATAGGTCAAAGGCTTTGACATTAAGTGCATTTTGCTTGGGTTCTAGTTTTATTTATTCATTGGACATGTCTGAGCCATAGTTTCCTTATCCGTGAAATAGGATTAATACTTACGCATGCATACCTTCCATAGAGCATTGCACAAAATAGGACTCTTGATAAAATCTCTTTTTCCTATGTGAAAGGTAAGAGACCCTTATAAGAATTTTCGATTAACTATAAGAAAATAAATATTTTATAGTCTATGGCCATACCACCCTGAACATGTCCGATCTCATGTGATCTCGGGAACTAAGCAAGATCGGGCCTGGTTAGTACTTGGAAGGGAGAAAATAAATGCTTTATAAATGTTTGTATTTAGCATGAGAGTTGCTATGTGCAGATATGTATACATTTGCCCCAATCTCCATGATAATATGTAATATTGAGGATATTTATGGATCGAAAGTTACGTAACTACTTTCCTTTTAAACATTAATTTCAATATTATAATTTTTATAATAAAACTATAAAACATAAAGAAACAAAAGAATATTTTTCAGTTAGTAGTAGAGCTGCAGCAAGTTATTAAACTTGAAATAGTTCTGTGAACCTAGGCAATTTTGTTTGACTGAATATGAAGCTAAATTTTTTTTCAGATTGTGATAAAGGTTTTAGTATAAAACCTTAAATGTGTTACTTGAACAAGTGCAGGTTTAAAAATACTTATTGTCATCTCACCAAAAAGTCACATGCACCTGTGTGTTCATAGCAGCACTATTCACTATAGCAAAGACATGAAATCAACCTAGATGCTCATCAACGGTGGACTGGATAAAGAAAATACGGTCCCTGTATACCATGAATACCATGCAGCCATAAGAAACCAAAATCATGTCCTTTGCAGAAACATGGAGGCAGCTGAAGGCCATTATCTTAAGCAAGTTAATGCAGGAACAGAACCAAATGCCACATGGTCTCACGTATAAGTGGGAGCCAAATACTGAGTATACATG